TCAACTGTACAGGCCTGAAATTAGTACTGTTTCTCCAAGAAAATCCACTATACTTTTAGAAATGCTATAAAGATTTCTTGTTGGGAATACAGCTGAAGAATTATATTTCATGCCTCTCACGTGGAATTGCAAATGCAATCCATAGTGCTACATTATGTATGACACCTTTAATACAAGAATAGAAACATCCCTAGAAGACAGAATAGCGTATTCTGACTTCTGGTCACAAACCACAAACTACCACAGACATTATTTACTTGTAAATTTCAGGCTCTAAATTGTTGAAACTTAGGAAGAAGTCCTTGAATATAACATCAAATGCAAAATGATAATCTGTCATTAAATATCTGCAGATAATGAGGAAATTGGAAAAAAGATATTTAATACACTATAGCAAAAGAAAGCAAAGAGAACTTATAGTAATTGCCTAAAAGTTAGTTTCGTTTGGTTAATCTTAATATCATTTGGTTCAGAATCCCCAGAGAGCCTTTCATTAAACAAGGAATTTTAACTGTGGGTTTTTTTTTTTTTTTAATACTTAAAAACCCAGAACTTATTTTCCAAACTCGCTTGCCACTACCATACACTACAGGGTAATGGTGTAAATAATTCTGTGCTTAGAAATATATTTCTTTTCTGAACTGTGATCACACTGAACACGTAAAACACATGCACATACACATTCATCACATTCATTTATAGAATGCAATTATGAAGAGGCTTCCTCACCTTGCTCTTCAGCTATTAGCTCTGTCTACCCTCCTGTTCGCAAAGAGGAAGAAGGGCCAAAATTAGAGCAGGGTTTACAGTGACTTATTGGACCATTTGCTACCCTTAGGCATTAGAAAGCTCAGTAAAGAAAAGCCAAGTCCATTCCTTGATAGAGCAAGTGCCCTGACTTTGACCCTTATATTAACTCTCAAAATTATTTTGTTTGCTATATCCACATGGCACCCATGTTGTATTTTTATTGTTGTAGACAAAAACTTGAAAAGGTTCCCCTTGAGTGGTCCTTAATTTTCTGTTTTCATTTTAACAGAATTGATTTGGAATTATAGATGATCCCTGACCTAACAGTGGTTCAATTTAAGATTTTTAGACTTTAGGATGGTGTGAAAGCCATATGCATTCAGTGGAAACCATATTTGAACTTTGAATCTGGATCTTTTCTTGGGCGAACTTTGAATTTGGATCTTTCCCCAGGCTAATGGCATATGGTATGATACCCTCTCATGGTGCTGGGCAGCAGCAGGGAGAACAGCTCCCAGTTAGCTTCACCTTCACAAGGGTAAACAGCCATACACTTAGAACCATTCTGTACCCACACAACCCTTCTGTTTTTCACCTTCAGTACATTGTTCAATAAATAACATGAGGTATTCAAGACTATAGGCTTTGTGTTCGATGATTTTGCCCAACTGGAGGTTAAGGGAGGTGTTCTGAGCACACTTAAGATAAGCTATGCTAACTATAATATTTAGTAGGTTAGGTGTATTAAATGCATTTCCACCTTACAATTTTCAACTTATGATGGCTTTATTGGGACATAACCCAATAAGTTGAGGAAGATCTATAATTGTGTAGAAGTAGATATAATCTCCTGTGATAACTGTTTTATTTGGGAGTATAGGAATTTTGTATGACAGCACAATTAGTGTAGAATATATGTGCAGTGCTCATATGCATCCATTATGGATTTTAAAGAGTTTCATAGGTTATAGTCTTCCAGACCAAACTTAATTCCAAGCTTTCTGTTTATAATATTGTCCAGTTATCAAAGCTAGGATATATTATCACTGCTAGTTACTCATGCTGTCAATTTGTTTTGGCTCAACTGTGGTTCCATTTGTACTTTTCTATAATGTAGTGAATACATTGGATTGGGTTGTTAGTTTAACAAGCTCTCTGGAGAACACTTTCATGATGATGCATATTGAGATGTGCAAGGTAGCCTTAAAGTTATTTGCGTATTTGCCAAAACCTACAGAAATTCATTCATTAGGAATTTTAAAAACGATCAACTCTGAAGCCACAGATAGAGGTAAAGATTACCTTTGTAAATATGGTAGTGTTAATTAATGCGTCCCAGCTAAATTTCTTTAGGGGCTTTGACCAAGTCCTCCCTTCTCTCATAATTTTACTGGATGGATTATTTTATGTCCTTTTAAAAATGTATTCTGATAGTTATGGAATCTTGCGCTCCTTGCAGCTCACCATGTTGTGGGTACTCAGTGATATTGGCCAGATAGTGAGCTTGGAGTTAAAGAAAATGTTATCAGAAATTGGAACTGATTGGGCTGTTAATATTTACATTGTGTTCAGATGTTTTTAAATTGTGCGCTAAAATCAGTTCTTTGCCCACCCCCACCTATTGCATCAAAATTTCCAGAGTCTGGGTCTGGGAATCTCTATTTTGAAAATGCCCCTTTGACCTTTCTAGATTCTGGAGATGTTCTAATATTTTTATCTGATGGTTGTTACACAAATACATATATGTTAAAACCCTTCAGTGTGTCTATTTAAGATTTGTGCACTTCATTGTAGTATTTCATGCTTTCTGTAATACCTCTTGAACTTTTTTTTTTTTTTTTTAATCAAGTAAACCGCTCCCAATGCAGCGATTGAACTCATGAACCCAAGATCAAGAGTTATATGCTCTACCGACTGAGCCAGCCAGGCACCCCTTGTAATACCTCAATTAAGAAAAAAAAGATTTTTTTAAAAAGACACATTACTCTCCTGATTTCATTAAGCAGCTTGTTAGTGGTTACTTAATAAACACTATTAATTGCCCACTGTTCACATAGTCATAACCCAAGAATAGATGACAAGGTGGGTCTTGGCTCTTGGGAACATAAAATCTGGTGATAAAGTGTCACATAGTATAAAGCTTTATACTTTAGGAAGTCTTTTTGTACAGACTGTCTCATCAACACTGTGGCTTATAGGCAATTTACTGTCCTTGCTTTTTTGTTAAACTTATCCCGGATTACTCAGCAAGTAGGAGGTAGTTGCACGACTTTAAATTAAGTCTTTATAACAGCCTGTAATTCCCTAGAAATAAGAATGCTTCAGTTAACAACAAAAACCCAAATCACAAACCTCACATGGAGGCAAAAGCCAAAGTGTTTTTATGTAGCTGTAGAAGCCATTATCCAGAGAGTTCTTAATAGATATGGAATTTGTGTCAAATTTTCCTACAGTTCATTGTCACTTCATGTTGCCTATTTTTAAAAAAAAATTTTTAATTTATTATTATTATTTTTTAATAAACATATAATGTATTTTTATCCCCAGGGGTACAGGTCTGTGAATCGCCAGGTTTACACACTTCACAGCACTCACCATAGCACATACCCTCCCTCAACCCCACTCCCCCCAGCATCATGTTGCCTATTTTTAATGTCACAGTTGTCCATTTGGACTCTGGAATTTCAGTATGTTAAGCTTTCTCTAGTGACTGTAATGTTTGTGGAAAAATTTTTCAACTGAAACACCTTGCTCTCTATGGCCTTCATAACTTTCCGTTTATTCTTGCCTCATTTTCAAATTTTTGAGTATTTCCAGGAGATGCTGGCCGACATTGAGTATTGTTCTTCCTGATTACATTTAGCATTTATTGTTTGTTCCATATTCTTTGGCACTTAGTCATTTCACATTTAACTCTTTATTACTGTCAAGTATTGTTCTTTATTTATGTACACAAATCTTGCCTTCCTAAAAGGATTATAAGCTCCCTGAGACTATCCCATGTGGTGGCACACAGTAGCATTTTCTAAGTACTCTTTGACAGTAACAATACACTCAACTCGGTTTTTCCTTCCTTTTCCTTTTTCCCCCTCTGTGTCTTAAACCCACTAAAGTTCGCTGCTGTTACAGCCTTGGTGTAGGATAAAGTGGACTAATGAACTTCTTAGGTGGGATCTCTGGGTCCCAAAACCCATGGATATTGGTGGCATAAAATCTAAGAATAAGGCTCAGAGCTCTTTCTTCTTTTTTCTTTTTAATGGGTAACTTCTGTGATAAGAAGTCTTGTCATAGTTGGCATACAAGTATGCCAAGAAATCATGTTTCCCTTTGCCAGTCATCATCACCTGAGGAACCTTTTCAAAATACTGTAACATTTGCTTGTGTGTTTTATTCCTTTATGGTCATCATCACTGGCCCTCATAGGGCATGTCGAGAAACATTGGTATTCATGTTTATACAGCAGCTTCCTATTTCACAAGGTAGGGCATGGTCCCCAACATGGGACGGTTGGAGTATATATCAGTATCAACTTAAGAATTTGTTGGTGGTCCTGATTCTGGAGAGTGAAATTACTGCTTTTCAAGCCCTCACCCAGTAACTGACTGTATCTCTTGCATACTCTTGACTTACGCTTACCTACCAGATATCTGGGCTCACAAAGATTCCATAAGAGGCCTCTCTTCCTGTCATATTCTTATAATTAAGCTAGATATTCTTCCTTGTTCACTAATTCTCTTTATATATTAAAATGATCCTTAGTTTTTTATAAAACAGTGTTTTGTTCCTTAGGGAGTTTCCCCTCTTTAAATAAGGCTAGTTTTGCAATAAATTCAAAGGTGGGATGACCGCTGAGATCAACTTCAGAGGGAGTGCTCCTGCTTTGGCTCTGTGGAGAAACTCATCTCCCCAAACTTACCTGGTAGTTTCCTCTCATGTGGATTGGAATTCTAATTAAAATTTTATCCTCAACTTCTGAACATTTTGAAACTCCATTGTTTTTTATGAAAAGCATGTTATGGTATAGAAAGAATATGGACCTATGCTCTAAATAGCTGAACTGAAATAGGGTCCTTAGAATTAACCTTCCATTACCACCACCACCAGCCACCTCCCATCTTTCCCACTGCTCCTCTTCATGCATATTTTCAGGTTGATCCCTGCTTTGTTTTCAGTTTCTCTTTATCCAAGATAGCAACTTTGGGCATGTAGAAGATATGTCCTGACTGACGTGCCTGCCTTTCTGTTTCTAGGTGGGCCATGCACAGACACAGCTCATGTCTCGTTAATCACACCAACCAAAAGATCCTGTGGTACAGGTATGTACATCATTCTTATCTGGATTCATTCTTATCTGGATTCCTCATAGAAATTAGCTACTGGTTTTAACATGGTGTCTTTCTAGGATACTCTCTAATTTCTTCCATCAGTTGTCAAGTGGTGTATTACGTGCTAAGTATTGGGAGTGAGGTAGAGTGAACAGGGGTCAGAGTTGTGCTCTTTGAGGTCAAGTTGAGTTAATGCTGGCAGCTAGAACCAAGAAGATGGACATTAAAATTTATCTTCTACTTCATGTTTGAAGAATATTGTTAAGACATGAAATATACAGAAAATACAGATAATTGCCTAGTTTCTGGCCTGTGTGTAATTTGTCTAAGTCTTGGACCTACTACAAAAACATTATTTAAATAGTGGAGCTGAAGTGTTAAAGAATTTTTGTAGTACAGATAGTGTTTTAACTTGACAATTAAAGTATCCTAATAGTTTTAGAAAATTATTTTCTCCCATTCATCTTAAAGCTGAGGGGTATGCTGAAATCATTCTTTTTAGGTGCATGGAATCCCAAACACACTTCTGTGCATCTGTGACATTTGTATTAAACATGAAGTCATGAATATTGTAGCTTTCTAAAGAGCAGTTGTAATGCCCATTGCTCCCTTAGTCTGTAGCTTAGTTTATTTTAAACACTATTTGCCTTTTCTAGTAATGCTGCCTGCTATTTAAAATATCTTAAAAATTTTATTTGGAAGAGTCAAAGTAATTATATTGTTTTTTTTCAGAGGTCACTGTTAGAGTCTTTTCCATAACTTAAAAAGTCCTTTTAACTCCCCAGCAGAAATAACACAAACCATTTCTGTGTACAAAGTTAAACTGAAGCCTCAGTCCCTTTAAATGCTCCTAGTTTTGATGATAAACCTGAAACAGGGCCTGTCCTTGCATGGTTTCAGAGTAACGTCCAGGCATTGAACTCTTAAGGAATTTAGTTTTACTCTTCTCTACCAATTTTGAGGCGGGGCAGGGAGGACATGAGATTGTACTAGTATGCTCTCATCCTTCCTGTGCCCAGTACCTGAGCTCTCCTGGGTAGTTGTGGTTGAGATAGAAGAAAGCTGTGCCCTTGGGTAAGGCCATCCTGACTGATCAGTGGGAAGTTAGAGAGCCAGCTTCCTATACCCACTCTAGCCAGAAGCTTGAAAACACTCAGAGTCCTTTTATTTCAGGCCCAACACTTAACATGCACCAGTGTACTTTAGTCTTTCTTCATTCCTTTCTTCCAGTCTTGGTTCTCAGAGTAGAGTTTACCATTGGCACTACTAACATGTTGAGGTAGTCAAGGAATGGGCTTCAAGTACATTGGGTCATCGGAGAGATTTAGAAAGGAGACTCATGTGCTCAGCGTAGACACTGATATTAGTAGGAACCTTCCTGAATATCATGTGCTTTTTTTTCTAGGCAGATCTCTTCAGTTTCTAGGCAGATCTCTTCCCTCTCTCTGCTTCCATACAATTTCGTTTATCTGAAAATAATCACAGCATTTACTGCATGCTTACTAAATTACCAGGCACCATTCAATATGTTTTATATACATGTTCCCTTAATCTTCAGAACGGTTCTGCAAGAAAATTATTCCTCTTTTATAGATGACAAAAATGGGCACTCAGAAAGTTAAGTTTTTCTGGGGTGGTAATATTGCTAGTAAGTAATAGAGTCAGGACTTGAACACAGATCTTTTATTCTTTTGTTGTTTCTAAATTTAATTTCCAGTATAGGTAACATACAATGTTATATTTGTTTCAGGTGTACAGTATAGCAATTCAGCATTTCTCTGCATTACTCAGTGCTCATCCTGCTAAGTATTATCTTAATCCTAATCACCTATTTCACCCATGCCACCACCCACCTCCCCTCTGGTCACCATCACTTTGTTGAACACAGATCTCTCAGATGCTAAAGCCTGTGTTGTTTCCCACCACATAATGTTACTGCTTATCACATTTTACTGTAATCACTTATACTCCCAGCCAGTCAGTGGAAAAACATATCATTGGTGAAATATGGAGAAAGAAAAACGGGATTTTGAAACATTGCATATTGTGAAGTGGTTCTAAAAATGTTGAGTTCTAGAAACAGATCTGATGTCAGATCCTAGGTTAGCCACTTAACAAAATGTGATTTGGGGTAAATAAGTTAACATCTCAAAATGTGTTCTTCATCTGAAAAATGGGATGAAAACTCTTTCTCATAGGTTTGATTTGAGAAATAATAGATATAAAGCTCACATAATCTTCAATAATGGGACCTGCTACCATACTATAATCACTAAAGATTCTGTGTGGTGTTGATGGTGTTGGTATCACATTAATATGTATCTTAGGCAGAAAGAAGAGTAGAATAGAAGTTATTTTTAACAGAATGGATTGCCGTATCTAGTTTCATTAATTGATACTGTTGATCACATTTTTTGTTGCATGTCAGTACTTTATCAGGAACTGAGGGTAGAAGGCACGTGATGAGGGAGGCATTGAGTTCTCAATCACACATTCCCAGGCCTCCTTTTAGGTGAATATAATACCTCTTAACTAAAAAGAGATTGAGACTTTCTGGCTTGGAAGGAAATTAATGCACTGTGCAGGTCACTCCCAAAAAGCCTGAAGGAAAGTTGAGATTTCCTAGTGTGATACTTCTTTTCGAAAGCCTGCCTGTGTCCCCTCAGGCTTGTTAAACTAACCAAATGGCTTCTGACTTACACAGAAGGGTCCTGACTTCAGAGGACAGAGCTTCATCACTTTCAGAGATAAATTAAGTGATTTGCTTTGAGAATCACAGATTTACTGTCTTTGTTTCCATCTTTCTGTGCTGGAATGAGAAGGTTGCCCATTGTGGGGATTCTGGGCATTTTTTGTGGGGGGAATCACCACCAGTTACTTACTGTTGTGTGGCTGGAGTATCTTGTATTCTTTTCTTTATGTCTAGTCTTCAAGAGTAGGATGCAGTGCTTCTAAGACATGCCCTGTGGTTCTTCTGCCATAGTGGGTACCGCAACTAAAGAATATCTTTAGTTCTCCTAAAGATCTCTCAGATGTGGGCTTCAGGTGTAGGTGATCAGTAAATAATTACTTTACAACCACATGTTATTTCTTATGAGCTGTAGAGTGAGACCCTCTGTATTAGACTATATCAACTCTTCCCAGCCAATCTGTCCATACAAGTTTGGACCTAAAGCAGCTCCTAGCATAATAATGACATTATAGGGGCACCTGGATGATGGTTCACTTGGTTAAGTGTCTGATTCTTGATTTTGGCTCAGGTTATGATCGCAGGGTTGTGAGATCAAGTCCCATGTTGGGCTCCATGCTGGATGTGAAACCTGCTTAAGATTCTCTCTCTACTGCTTAAGATTCTCCTCTACTCCCCCTATGACCTCCATCTCTAAAGATAATAATAATGATGATGATGATGATGATGATGTTATATTAGAAAAAGGATACTTAGGCTAGAATCAAGTGGTTGTTCTTTTTTAAGATTTTTATTTATTTATTTGACAGCTAGAGATCACAAGTAGGCAGAGAATCAGGCAGAGAGAGAGAGACAGGAGGAAGCAGGCTCCCTGCTGAGCAGAGAGCCTAATGCTGGGCTCCATCCCAGGACCCTGGGATCATGACCCGAGCCGAAGGCAGAGGCTTTAACCCACTGAGCCACCCAGGTGCCCCTCAAGTGGTTCTTTAAATGAGTGATCTCTGAAGAAGGGCATATAATAATAGTCTCTGAGGTATGAGGAGAAAATAATAAAAGCTCTTCATCTCAGCCTTTTAAAATTTGTTTTCCAAACTTATTTCATAATTATATATTAGTCTATGCACATAAACCAGCAAGTACACAGAGAAATATATATAATATTAAAGGTATGTAGTCAAGTATTTTAGAATTAGTATTTTAGAAATTAGAATTAGTATTTTAGAAATGCGTGTACACTCAGAAAATTGACCTCGAATATGTCATTTCTTTGTACTTTAGTACAAAGTACTTAGTACTTTGACAATTAGGTACAAAGATTAGCATTAGACACATTAGTACGTGGCCTTTATACATTAAGGCCTGAATGGTTGATTATGTCTCTGTTTTTCAAGTGACTACTTTTTGGTTAGAGGGTATTGTAATTTAGAGAGGTGGACAGACCTTTAGAGTGGTTGGTCTGTAACCATCAAAATGAGAGTGGGAACTCTTTTTAAGAAACTGCTTTGTGAGAACTGTGAGTCTAATAAGCAGATTGCAGAAAGGAGCAGTAATGGCAAATGAAAGATCAGATTGTATTTGTGAGCTAGGTGAGAAAGGCTTTTCTTTAGATGCTGGCTTTTAGCCACATAGCACTATTAACATTTAAACTCTTTGTAATCTTTAGGTGGGGGGTGGGGGGGAGAACGCACTGTGATCATTGTGGTATTTAAGCAGAGAAAAATGAAGTGAAGCTGTGTGTGGCTTTGTCGAGCTTCAGGGTATCTACAGTCAGCAAAGAGAAGTGCCGCCAAGTCTCAGGTTGCTTTTGGTTAGAATGTGAGAGTTAAAGCATTTCATACTTTCAGATTACTAGAGAGAGGTTTCGTTTCTTCCAAAAGCTCAGAATGTTTTGCACATGTTCCCTTGTTAATTCTCACAACATTCCTGCCAAGAATGAGTATATTGTGAAAGAAAAAGTTCACTTTCCTTGGCGACAGACTGCCAGAAGATTCCCTTTTGTCCTTCCATCTTTTTTATCAAGTTACTCCTTAAGCCAGAATGTAATCCAAACTATGGTCATCTCCATCAGATAACTGTATTTTGAAGATAATTTGGATGTTCAGGTGAATATATGAGGTCCTATTTTTGTGTTTAAAGTGCCCTGTGGGACAGGAAGGAAGTTTGTTCCATTTTCATAGGATTTCTTGTTTAAAGACCTGACTTTTTCTTCATAAGACTTTTTTTTTTTTTTTACAGAGAGTTACAGCAAAAGAAATAAGTTGTTTTGTGTTTCATTTATTGGCGCTTACTGTTGACGAACCTT